CAAAAGGGATGAAGGCTAAGAAGTTTGATGATATTGAAAGTGGACAAGCATTGCTCAAGGAGGGTCAGGCAAAACTTGCTAGCAGTCTTAGCAAGCTTGAAGATTTAAAGAAAAAGAAAAGCTGTGCGCACCTATAGAACTAGTCTAAGTTATGAGGTTTGCGTGTGAATGTCACTGTGATGTTTACTTCTTTTTTAGAGCTGAAGTACTCTGTTTAAAGACTCGTGTGGTGAGAGCTTTTCTGTGATAGTCATCATCATCAGCCTGACCACGTCCACTGCAGGACAAAGGCCTCTCCCATGTTCCGCCAGTTAACCCGGTCCTGTGCTTGCTGCTGCCAATTTATACCCGCAAACTTCTTAATCTCATCTGCCCACCTAACCTTCTGTCTCCCCCTAACCCGCTTCCCTTCTCTGGGAATCCAGTCAGTTACCCTTAATGCCCAGCGGTTATCCTGTCTACGCGCTACATGCCCTGCCCATGTCCATTTCTTCTTCTTGAGTTCAGCTATGATATCCTTAACCCCCGTTTGTTCCCTAATCCACTCTGCTCTCTTCTTGTCTCTTAAGGTTACACCTACCATTTTTCTTTCCATTGCTCGCTGCGTCGTCCTCAATTTAAGCTGAACCCTCTTTGTAAGTCTCCAGGTTTCTGCTCCGTAGCTAAGTACCGGCAAGATACAGCTGTTATATACCTTCCTCTTGAGGGATAGTGGCAATCTACCTGTCATAATTTGAGAGTGCTTGCCGAATGTGCTCCACCCCATTCTTATTCTCTAGTTACTTCAATCTCATGGTTCGGCTCTGCTGTTATTACCTGCCCTAAGTAGACATAGTCTTTTACAACTTCAAGTGCACTATTACCTATCTCGAAGCGCTGCTCCTTGCCGAGGTTGTTGTACATTACTTTCGTTTTCTGCAGATTAATTTTAAGACCCACTTTTCTGCTCTCCTTGTCTAACTCTGTAATCATGAGTTGCAATTTGTCCCCCGAGTCACTCAGCAATGCAATGTCATCAGCGAAGCGTAGGTTACTAAGGTATTCTCCATTGACTCTTATCCCTAACTGTTCCCATTCTAGGCTTCTGAAAACCTCCTGTAAGCACGCGGTAAATAGCATTGGGGAAATTGTGTCCCCCTGCCTTACACCCTTCTTAATTGGTATTCTGCTGCTTTCTTTATGAAGCACTATGGTAGCAGTTGATCTCCTGTAGATTTCTTCCAGAATGTTTATATATACTTCACCTACGCCCTGATTCCGCAGTGTTTGCATGACGGCTGATATTTCTACTGAATCAAACGCCTTCTCGTAATCTATGAAGGCTATGTATAGTGGTTGGTTATACTCTGAGCATTTCTCTATTACCTGATTGATAGTATGAATGTGGTCTATTGTTCAGTAGCCTGTTCGAAATCCTGCTTGTTCCTTTGGTTGATTGAATTCTAATGTTTTCTTTACTCTGTTAGCAATTACCTTTGTAAATAGCTTGTATACTACAGAGAGCAAGCTGATCGGCCTGTAATTCTTCAAGTCCTTGTCATCTCCTTTCTTATGTATTAAGATGATGTTAGCGTTCTTCCAAGCCTCTGGTACTCTTCCCGTCAGGATAGTATTGCATTGTAATAACTGTAAAATGATACCTGATAGTGCAAAAATGGCAGGCATTCTGCAAATGTTGTGTGTTCTGTAAATGTGTTCATATTTTAGTTGGAAAATTTGTTAAGTGCAATATATGATCAATAATAAATGCAATTATTTTTAAAATAAAATTTATTTGTCGTGTTTCATGCACATATCGGTACCTACCTGCTGCGGTGAGACTGCTACAAACAGTAGTTAGCTTGCTACAAACAGGACATTTTTGTGCTCCAAGCGCACTAATTCTTGCTCCAAACTTCCATTTTTCCTGCTCCGAAAGCTGCTCCGAAATGCCAAAAGCCACTTCCACCACTGCAATTACAACTGCCAGTGGCTCAGAAGGCTCCTGGAGAATCATCTGAGTGGGGCTTTCCCCTCTGCCTCCACTTAGCAGCTGCCTGAAAGGCTACTGAAGACCCTCTTTCTCTCAGTAATCGACAGTTACGGCATTTCCTGTGAGTGAAGCCTAGATAGTTCGGGAAGTAAATATTCTCTCCTGGCAAAACTATACATTCTACAAGCCTGGAATTTTGTGAGACCCTACAGGAAGATGTCCTGAATGCAATACCAACAAAATTGAAAAATCGGTTTTTTTCGCTTTCAAGACCCATGTGCCCCCTAACTGACTTCAGGTTTTAAAGGTGATGATTGCACTCTTCACATGTTAAAGAATATGTCGGAAAAATTTCATCCCGATGTGGCCATCAGAAGTACCAGGCATTCAAGAAGTTGCCAGAAATAGCATTTTGAGAAAAACACATTTTAGAGGTAAAAATGAAAGCCAGTTCTGTGTATCAAAGCTATGCTTTTTAAAATGGTTTCTTTTATTGTAAGAGCTTTAGAAGAATGGTTATTTTGAGTTTGTAGGTTCTAGTAAACTTTTGATGTGAAAGGCAACGGCAAGCAGCCAGGCGGTAATATTCAGGGGCTCTAAATGATGAGCTCTTTTTTGGTTTTTAGTAGCCACTTTGAGGATCTTTAAAAGTGATTTTAACCTACTTCGACCTTAACACCTAGTTTGGAAGAGCAGAACTTATCCTGCACGAACTGTCACCAAACTGCTTCAGATAAGCAGAACTCATTCTAGCGGAATAGGTTACTCCCCTCCAGCACTCAGGCAGACAAGCGTGCAATTACAGCTTACATTGTGTGTCATCCTCTAGAGAGGAGTATTTTCTCGAGGATTTAGTTTTCTCCTGAGGCAGCAGAGTGGTTTTTGTACGGAAAGACAGCGTGCGGTGGCGGTGACCCATGTATAGCTGGCCCATGAACCCAGAAAAAGTGCTATTAATATTCGTCATCTTCTTTGAGTGATGATGATTCAAGTACAGATATTTATCTTTTGCCCGGAAGTGAAGACAGCAATGATGGTGAATCGACTAGCTCCCCTAGTGATGATGAAGACTGCTCGGACGCAAACTTTGGGAGAGCTGGCCAGTGAAGCCGCTTTGCGATATTCTGCATTTTGACATTTTTTTCGCAGTCCCGAAGTTTCTTGATTGAAATACCCCAAGGGTGGCCTATGCAAGTGAAGAAAGATGTGGCATCTGTAACTGTTTGGTTTATAAGGTTTTTAAATTTCATTAGCAGCGGATAAATGGTTTCCTATGTATTGTTCAGAAGTAGAGTTTATTTCGTTGATATGACTAAGTATGTGCTGAAAATATTTTTTCAACATCCACTAGCTACTTTTTAGACAATCAGATTCGAAATCAGGATTAAAAAAAAAAGGAATTTTTCGGTCGGAAATTAGAAAAAAAAAGAACAGTGAAGGGGTCACTTACAATCTTGATTGTTTTTGTCATCAAATTAGAGAATCTAAACTCATGAAAGCAAGTAAAAACACAAAGAAATGTTCTTGCAAAACAAAAAAAAATTTTTTGAGTAGCATCTACCATTAAAGTACTTTAACATTTTACTAATGATAGATCTAAAGAAAGAGAGGTTGACGATTCATAATTTAAAAAAGAATGGCTCGACAGAAAAAGAAAAACAATTTACCACACATGCCAATGTGTTCTTGTGGGAAAGGTCTAGCTTTTTTCTGTTGTGCCATTTTCTTAATGCATCTGTACCAGCTTACCCAACTGTCAGTCCTTCCTACTTATCGTGGACAAGCTAACTTGTGAAATAATTTTTTTTTTGTTTAACCAATAGTGAATGTGATTTAGAGAAGTATTCTGAGGCTGTTGTAATGAACGGGCCAGGTTTGTGTGCTTCCTTCTTGCCAAGAGCTTCGATAGAACATATATTGCTGATGTACAAGGTTGTGCAAGTCTGCTAAAAGCACTGAGAGGACTTAAAAACATACAGTACTGTTTGATAGTGACATTGCACGTCATACCTGCACGTCATACAAGTGACAAAAATGAAGAGGCACTCTTTCTTTCCTGTGTGTATGTCGTTTTGGCTGGGCTGTATTTTCTTCACTGCAGCCATCGCGCTTTCGTACAAAACGTTTCCATTTTGCATGTAAAGAAACAAAGTGTGCATCTTTTCTGTTTGTCCACTTATTCGAATGGTTTACTTGATTGGAGGGGTAGTGCAGTCTTTCCTTTATTTAGCCTTCGCTCATGCCTCTTTTGATGGGCATGTGCTAACCCAATAGTAGAGAGTTTCTGTCGTCACCATGTAATGCTTACATCTCAGTTCTGCTTTGCCAATCACTCTCACTTCACAATTTGAGCCAGTGTAAGGCACCACTGCTAGTGTTTTAAGGGCAAGGCAAATGGAATGGGTGCTAGTGCAATGCACCACATGTGCTTTTGAATGTAGCGATAATGTGCAGACTGTCCCTGCTTGTCTACAAATCGCTTGATCTCCTAATGCATGCTGTCACAGTTTTTGGCCCAGTAAGACAGTTCGATGCTTTTAAAGTGCTTTTAAAACAACCTTGTGGTGCTATGGCACTAAGTAGTAGAACAGCTGATAGAAAAGCATGGATAATCAAAGAAACCTGATGTAAGGTGGAGAACATTGCACTTTCGGTGCACCCACATTGAATTTCCTTATTCCTAAAGCTTATCTCGCTAAGTACAAACATTCTTAAATAACTTTGTGAGTATTTTCGCATCCTTTCCAAGTGCCACCTATGCTAGCAAATATTCACCTTGACCTGCCATTGTCTACATGACAGTCATGCACATTGGCTGCGCTACTTCGGGTATAAGATAGAGGCTCTTTGCATAGCGCTTTAAGTTATCAGTATGGAATAGCGCGAACCGGCGCATGCTCTACAGTGATCTGCATGCGCCATGCAGTTCGATTCAACAGACACCTAAGAGGCTATCATATTGCTCTAAAATTTTATGTATTGGAGCACCATTGCGGATTGTGCAAAGCTTTTTACAAAATTTATGCAGGAAGGTGCCGTGGAGAAAGCAGCGGAGCAGTGTAGCCCAGTGCTTATGAAACACCTTGACGGCGAGCTCAGGGGTGTCTGGCTGCTAACAGAGTAAGCTGCAACTAAATATAACAAGTTCTTCTGACCAGCTAGTGGATTCTTGCTAACGGAAAACAGCATTACAAGATAAGGCAAAGCATGTGGCATACATACACATAAGTTAACGTTTGCCAACTTGTTCCTACGTGTTTGGTTCCACATTGTAGTTCCTTTTTTCCAGTGGCCAGTCAACATGTAATTGCCTTTGTTGTCGAAGAAGCATTGCGAGCTTCTCCCAAAGGGCTGTGTCAGTGAAACTTGGCTGTATTGAAATTATCTGAAATCTGGAACTTGCACTTCTGTCTGCAAAAGCTGTAAGTGAGCTCTTCTCATCGAAATGGGGTCTCACTTGCCTCTATGGGAAGTACCCAGAGATGTATCAAACTTAATGACAGGTACACCACTGGACGTATCAATATAAAATCCAGCTAGCGTCAATAGATTTTACAATGGAGCTGTCCAAGCTGTTAAAAACTTGTGCTCAGTTGTGTGTGTAAGTTCCGCAGGCGAGTATGTGGCACAGGAATTGCACAGGCTCGATCACAGAGTACTGCAGATACAAGCGTTAAGCGAAAACTCAGCAAAGTGGAGCGCATGAAACACTTGAGAGAAAGTCGAAATAGGAAGAGAGAAAAGAATGGTTTGAAAGGGGAAAACTGGAAAGAAATAAAGGGAGTAAAAACATAAGACGTTATGAAGACTGAGAAAAGCATAGAAAGAGAGCAAAAGAGATAGAAAGAAAGAGACAATAAAGAGATGCAAAAACAAAGCAAGACCAATATTGAAGAAAGAAAGGAAAGAAAAAAAAACATAAGGAAGAAAAAAATAGACAAAAGTGAAAGAAGTAGAAAGAATGAGAGAAAGAGAATTAGAAAGAAATGGATAAAAGGAAAAGAGATACAAGAAGCAGAGAAAAAGAAAAAAAAGGAGAGAAAATAAAATAAATGAATAAAGAGCAACAAGGAAGGCCACCCAGTAGCACTCTTCCACCTGGCTTGGCACCGCTCTGGCAAAGCTGTCATACTTTTTTATTTTCTATTGAAAAGATCCAGTAATTATCAGCTGGGTTATGAGCCAATATGCTTGTTAATAGCCTATGATTAATGTCTGGTGCATGCCTACAAGCTAAAAAACACAAGACTCAAGGAGCATACCAGTACCTGTAACATTTACTGAATTATATGCATTTATGACAAAGTACTTACTTAAATGAAAATAATTTACAATTTTTAATTCCTACACTTGCACTGAACAAGAACAAGCTGCAGTTGAGAGATCTATGTATACTAAAATCCTCAGCCAGCCCCCCCCCTCCCCCCTGCTCTACGGTGAAGGATTGTCCAACAAGATGCGGAGGTTATGTGGCAACTTAAGTAACCACATGTGTATTTTGTTGGTTGCCTGTAATAAAACACATTCATGTCTTTAGAACTCATTGCCTAGCTTATATATTGTCTTCCCAACAACGAGCTCTGCTGAATTCTTTGCTGCCTGTGGCTGATAGATGGGAGCAGCGCTTTACGGTATGACAATCATGCAGAATTGATCACTGGGACACGGAGAAGGAGCGGCTGCTCTTCTTGACTGACTACAGCCTGATCGTGCTCAAGTACGACTTCATCACCCTCAAATTGCTTGAGTACCGGCGGCTACACCTCAAGACTTTCGACGTGGTGCAAGTGGGCCTGCTCACGTATCCCAACAAGTCATTGATGCCGTAAGCAGTGCTTTGAACCCGGTTCATGTTTACTTTATGTCGATGTTCATTGTGCCATTGCAGCCTCGCCACGGTGGTCGAGTGGCTAAGGTACTTGACTGCTGACCCGCAGGTAGGGGGATCAAATCCCGGCTGCGGCACCTACATTTCGGATATAGGCGGAAATGTTGCAGGCCCATGTGCTCAGATTTGGGTGCACATCAAAGAACCCCAGGTGGTTGAAACTTCCGGAGTCCTCCACTACGGTGTCTCTCATAATCATATGGTGGTTTTGGGACGTTAAACCCCATATCATCATCATCATCATCACCACCACCACCACCACCACCATCATCATCATCATCATCAGTGTGCTATGTCAACTCTACAGTGTGTGGGGCTTGTGTGAAGCAGTTTAATCGGTTGTCAAAATATCAATGAAATTTATGTAGTCTTCTTTCTCGGCATTGGATTTCCTCTCTGCCCTTTTCTTTCTTTTGCTCCTACTTCTCCAACTTGCTCAGCTTGATGCTGTTCAGGCAGCTGGCTTAGCACCTCCAGAGGGTTGCTGCCGCCGCACTTGACAATGGCTCCCTCAGTCGGTAGTAGGTTGCTGTAAGAACTCTGGCAGCATTTTCTACTGCCATTCCTGACAGGTAACACTACTGTTCATCCCAGTTGATGTCACGAAAAATAAATGTTAAAGGCAGGCACATGTTTCAGACTTGAGAGCAGAGACTCTTACCTGCGAAGTCTTTTGCTGCGATTTAGTCTTAAAAGTGCTTCTACTGGGACTAGTTGCTATGGTATTCTGAAGTGAAATGATATGCTGCATAGATGGAACTGAGAGGAATTTCACAAGAGCACAAAAGGGACAAACACCTTGCACTAAGTCCTTGTTCCTTTTTGTGTTCTTGTGTCGTTCACCTATGCTCATCCATGCACTGCATTGTTACACTTCAGACTTAGTTGTTGTAAGGGGAGCGTGATCGTTCACTCCACAAGCACAGTTTGCCCTAGGGGCAAGGTTGGTTATTTGTGAGATAAACGAAAACTGGAGCAGAACTTGCAATTCGCGATGTAACCGCTTTGGACCCAACCATCACTCGGCTGCAATTATGCAATACTTACCCAATTCCAACATACTATATGGTCAATCAGTCCCATGTAAGCCATTATATCTGCCTTACTGAGTTCCTGAGTCTAATGCGGGTTGCATACTTTTTACCGTTTCCGTCGAGAAGTATTGTCGAGTACTGGTGGATTGAAACAGGACAGTTTAGGGCTAAGTAACCCTCACTATACTTTCTCTTACACCCTCTTCAGTTTGAGTTCTACTGGCGTAATTTCGACTCGAACGTAGATCAGAGCCACTAGTATCATCAGAGACCACATTCATCACGACAGACAATATGTAGCTATCTCAAGCAATTGCGCATAGTCGGTATGCACTAGAAAACTTGATGTTGAGTTTGAGTCTGTGAGTGCCTTATAGTAATACTGGTTGAAACGGTATATCAAATTTTTTAGAATAGCAATTGACATTATGTCGTGATGAATCTGGTCTCTGAAGATGTTAACTCTGATCTACAGTTCTGGTTGAAGTGGCATTGACATCATCTGAGCTAAAGCTGATGGAAATGATTGTGCGTTGTCGTTACTAGCCCCAAATTTTCGGATTGAAATATTTTAGTACTGTACATTGAAGTGAAACAGATAGCCAATTTTGTAACCAGTCGAAAGTAGCATTGAACTTTGAACGAGACGAATACCAAACTGTATACTAACGTGGAGCATTTCACAGTTCGAGCTGATGTCTCATGTTGTCTTTGTTTACTGATCTGAGTCACTGATGCATTCTAGAGCTTTGTACTGATTACCAAGATACTGTTTTAATTGGTACTTTACATATGAACCATAAGTTGCTTATAAAAGCAACTACAATATGTTAGTTATGGTCTACTCAGTTCAGATGCACAGACTAGTGAACAATCTGTCAAACCTTCGAGTCATCATAGCAGTGTATGGTTGCAGGCCCTTGTAGCCAGGTTGTTAGTAGGTTGTTGGCAGGTTTTTGGCAGGCATGATAACTGTAGCTTTTAGTGCTTTCCAATTATGTCTTTAGTGAGTCTGGTCATTAAGAAGCATTTGTAAAATACCAAGTTCCCCAGCCAGCACTCGTGGCATTTTTCTTTTGCTCGTAGTTGACAAATTGTTCTGTGATGTTGGTTGCATCTATTGCAAATAGCTTATTCTTATGTATTGAAGATATCTTACAGGCCCCAAAAAGAGGGTCTAGGCAAGGGAAACATAAAAAAATATAGTTATACATTGTATATAGCCAGTGGCTCAACCAATGATCTGAAAAAAATTGCTAGTTATACAGCAAAAAAAAAACAAGTGTGTGAAAATTCAGCATGCAAACTTGTCATTATACTACAAAAAGGCTGCAGAAATGTAATTATAAGTTATGAGATGACATACATTTATACAAATCATGAAAAAGAAAAGAAAAGCATTAATCAAGGTTACACAGGTAAGGATGAAATGTATGCTGTTGTTAGCATGAGAGCAAATAACTGATTAAAATGTAGCACTGAGAAAATATTCATAACTCAAATGAGGCATGTAAAATTATCATGACAGGAAGCTAATTCAAACTAATAACTTTAGTTAGATATATCAGGGGTTGTGAAACTTTCTGGCTTTGGGGAAGCCCAACAACTTTCCAAAGTGCCACTGGGCCCCCTTATGCTTGAAGACAATTCAAAGCAAAGGAGGAGAGGGGGATCTGGTGATAATTTCTCTCGACTTAAGCAACCACAGTATCAACACTGCCCGCATTTGCCTGTTCTCCTTTCTTCAATATCAAAAGCCATCACTGTTGTTGTGCAGCTCCCTATAATACATGGACTTGCAATTTCTCTCGCTCTTCTCTGCGAGTCGTGTAAATCATCTGTGGACCGACCACAAGATGCATGCTTCAGGCACCACGCAGTGTAAGCACTGTGATCCCACAAACGAAGCACTCGAATTAAGACAGACCTGTTTCATTTCTTGGGAAACAAAAACTGAGGCACGCCAGTTGCGCAGCAACACAGCCGTCAAGTTATATATCATTCATAAAGTTTAAGCCTTAATGTTTGTGCAGCCCACAGCTGGCACGAAGCGACGCCTCTTACGCATTACAAAGCGCTTGTTGCATGCTTTAATATTAAAACTAGCATAGAGAATTGTCAAATCGCCTTATATGAAAACCGCCGACGCGTCATGAGAAAAAAAAGAGAAATGAAGGAAGCCAGCTAGGTTAACCAGAGACTCGTCATGAGCTATGAATAGACCACCCAAGGTGCCCGTTATTATCATATAACTGTATTAAATGTTCACGAGCATAAATTACTAGCACTCCGCGTCTTCTGTCACCATCAGCCCGTAAATTATGCAAGTTGTATGGTGCTCAAGACGACAACTCTTTGGTGCTGCTACTATATGGGTCTCTCACTACCCATAGACACTGCTGTATGAACATGGTGTGCGATAGCTTTGTTAAATGTAAAACGCCATGCAAATTTGCTTGTCTGAATAAATAAAATAGCTGGTGTGTTGCAAAACAGGAGTAAGTTGCATTTGTTCTGCCTGCTCGTAGAATCTTAAAATGTCCTTCACGAAATTCCTTAGTTCCCCAAAACCTGGTTTATGAACCCATGAGATATATGTTTGCGTTTGCTTCTGGTTGCAACATAGGGTGGCTGCAGAATTTTTTTCTATTACATTTGTCTACCGCATCATCTGGAAGGTCGTTCTGCAAGTGAATGTCTAAAAGGCCGTATGAGTTAAGGTGTGCCTTTCATATTAAATGTGTCCCTTTACAGCTAAGGTGTCCCTTTACACGTGAAAGAAAGATGATTACGCAATGTCCGTGATGCATACTTATAAACCTGGTCGTCTCATAGGAAGCTCAGTTCCGTGATGGACACGGTTCGTGATCGGCTTGTGTCCCCGAGGCATCGGCTTGCCACTGGCATGGCTGATTCCGCTGCGCCTCCCAGCCAAGATGTGCTTGCAGGCTGCGGCGATTTTGAGGCAGAGGAGGCGACACCGCTCTTTCCTGCTCCTCCTTCTTCTTCTTCATCTAACAGGTCTTCTTCTTCTTTTTCTGTCACTCTTTCTCTCTCGACACTTTGCCTTGCTTGCACACAGTGAAAAGTAGACGCTTGAAAGAGGTTGGACAGACTTTGCAATGTGGCTGCACAGTCGTGTAATGAGGGACACAGCATCAGGAAAGCTAAGAACTTTGAAGCAGAATTTATTATACGAAGATTAATTAGAACAGAAAGAAAAAGAAAGAGCCAAGGAGAGTATCAGGGGTCTTATTTGGTCTAATTACGATTTAAGTGTAGAGAAAAAAAGTGGACAAAAATTAGCTCTCCGTGGACAGGGGCCAAACTTGCGGCCTTCGAATAATACGTCTAATGCCCTGCCAACTGAGCTACAGTGGGGGTTATCCACCCATCCACTTTATGGGACATACATATGCATTTAAACCTGGAAGTGTTTGTCAGCTACACTACTAGCCATCGCTTTCTCATTTTGGGTTGACTTTTTTGTCTGTCAGTTTGTAATAATAATGTGCCTAACTAAAAAAAATGAGCTGATAAGAGCCAATAACGTTCCCCTTTTGTTAATTTATTTTACCATTGCTACACCAGCATCCTTTGGTCGGGATCAGGGCTGATCCGGATGCTGATAAGGCTAGGCTTGAGCTTCGGAACACCTTCAATGCGTAATATTGGTCTGTGTATGTTCAATGTTTGGCATCATTTGCCCTGTTTTATACAATGTTAGTCCACACAAAGCATAGGGTGTTTTAATTTTCACTGCTGATTGAGCAGGTTTTTTTACGACCACCTTTTTGGGGTGTGGGCACTTTGTTGCGCCGGCCGTTCTAGTCGGATGGAGGAGGTGCAATTGCTGAAGGGGCCATGACCGCTCTTTTCGCTGCGGCGTGCACCTGCTTCCCT